TGCAAACAGACAGAAATGATTAATTGGATGACATGTTGCAGCACGTGCACAATGCTCGAGTATCACCACTGTACTGTGAAGAAGATGCCTCTCATCAGGACCACAGAGACATGTGTGTCGGAGCGCGTGCCCGTCGGAGCGCGTGCCCGTCGGAGCGCGTGCCCGTCGGAGCGCGTGCCCGTCGGAGTGTGTCTTTGTTCTGCACGGGTCCATTTTTCGAGACCTGTCCGCACCCGCGTAGTACAGCACCACATCCGCCCGTTAACCTGTGATTATATCAGAGTGAAACCCACACCCGCCCAGACCCATTAACATTCCACCCATTACCCTCCTGTGCCTGTGATAAACTGGGATCAGCCCATTAGTCCAGGACTAAACCAGGTCTAAACCTACGCCATGTCATTAGAGGATAATAAATATATACAAACCGCAGAGCCAATCACCAGGACCAAACCAGGTCTAAACCAGGACCAAACCAGTACTTAACTAGGTCTAAAACAGACTGAACCAGTGTCATTAGCATAAATATATACACACTGCAACCGCCGGGCTGATCGTCAGGACTACACCAGGACTTGACCAGGAGCACAGCCATCGACCCAATCTCACCCACTGATGGTTTTCTGTAATAAATACACTAAAGTCTCTCTCAGCCTGGTCCATTGTTCCGGGAGACGCATTAAGTATTTTTCTCCCATTCATCGTTCAGTTGATCCATTTGATCATTTAATAATTTCATCATTTAATCCACCTGACTGTACTCACTACCCGCCCCCACCTACCCACCTGTAAAATTCCAGAATGTTAAAACCCACCTGTTTCAGCAACTATTTGTGGGTACCCGCCCCGGTGCAGGACTCTGCCGTGCGTGTGTGGTCAAAGTGGTACTGCCAGAGCGCAGGTGTGGGATGTATCTCATGAAAGTGGGATGTTTTCAGTTATGTTTGGACTGTGACATTTGTGCGGCTCCTCAGTGTTGTCTCCACATTGGGCTGGAGTTTATTGATCGAGATAACATTCTAAAGCCCCAACGTCTCTTCTCACGTGTTGAGTTTCAGTACTCATCTTTAGTCAGGGTGTGATTCTGTACTGAAACTGAACTGTTCTAGCCACCGCCGTGTTACCAAACTCTCTCCTCTCCCCACACTCTCCCCTCAGATCCGGCCCCACATCGCCACGCTGCGCAAGTACACCTACGGCAAGCACATCCTGGCCAAGCTGGAGAAGTACTACATGAAGAGCGGCTCCGAGCTGGGGCCCATCGGGGGGCCCGCCAACGGCCTCATGTGAATTGCCCCGACAGACACGAGCTGAGCCCCCTCCCCCCTCTGCTCTCTCCCCACACACAAACACACATACACACACCACTACACACAAACCTACCAAAAACTCAAATGTAAGAACGCTGTGATCCTGCCCGCTACTCAGGCAGGCCCATTCTGGCTACAGCACATTGTAATTGATGTAACTGACTGATTTTGAATAATATTGTAAATTTTTGTTTTTTATTATCTAACAGTGTAAATTCTCTGTAGAAAGTTGGTAAGATATTTGGTGAAATTCTTAACCTTTTAAACACCAGCAAGTGACTTTTGGGGTGTAATTGAGAAATAATTCCACTTTTTTTACTCGGCCGGTGTTCAAATGGCTACAGTATATTTATATGTCAGTTTAAGCATGAAGAGATTCCATGCCAAAGCAGCTGCAGAATTAGCACTATGTATAAAAAATAGTCAGATTATTTCGAACAATGATTTTCTAGCTAGACTTGAATGGTGCTTTCTATCAACATGGATGCAAACTGTAGCTTTGTCTTGCATTGTTAGCTACTTTGGGAGAAGTTTTATTTCAAAGCATTTACTACTAAAATAAAATACAATGTAAAAAAAAAACAAAAAACACCTAAGCTAATCTTTTAAAATGCAAGATAAAGCTTCCGTTAGCACCACTTCATTTTCCTGAATAGTTTGTACAGTTACACAAAATGACCACAAGGGGGCTCTCCTTATATCCCGCTGGGGAGGTTTATGCAAGTTTAAGCGCATGCCGTGATGAGGTTTTTTAATCGTAGGAATGGTTCGGAATTCCCAACGCTTTTTATCATGTTTTGTCCAATCTTGTAGTTTTTCGAAAAAAAAAAAGAAAAAAAAAAAAAAAAGGAAAGAATCATCCGTGTCGTAGCTTTAGTGTCGTTTCGCTTCTTTATGTAACCTGTCGCTTTCTGGGGATTTGAAGATGGACCACTCCACCGCCTGAAGCTGGAGACATTTTGAAAAATAATTACTAGAATGTGAATGTGAAGTTAAGCGATTTTAGTGGTTTTAACTTTTCTTTAAAAAATTGGGCGAGAAAGTGCAAAGTTGGAGGCGTGTGGGGCCATCGCGCAGTAGCTGTTTTTTAAATCAGTGGGATTTTTCTTGCATAATTGTAGATTCCATGTAGTATATGTGCAGTTATTAAGTGTAAAATATGAATAGTGGAATTGAGGATACTAGTCGTGATGTTTTGACAGGCCTTGCTTATATAAGACTTTGTAGTGATGCTTTGAATCTGTTTCTGTACAGTTGTACATTTGTAAACCACGTTGTTGTAAATTGTCTTTTACTACACTTTTTTGGGGAGGCAAAATTTGTGCATTTCGATGTAAGTGTGTATATTCACCACTCCTTTGACCCCATTTTGAATATAATGTATACAGTTTATTCATCAAGTTTTATTTTGAAAGATTTTATGGATCTGGCATGATTTTTAAAAAAAAACTTTTATTTTGAAAGGCCGGCCTCTCGCTTTGTACCATCTCCTGTTGATAGTGTTTTAACGTGTGACGTACATTTTCTCTCGGATCGATGCTCTGCTCTTCACAGGAAACAATGATATAATATTTTTGTACAGATGAATTGAGGCGCTGTTCTTTTGAAAGCAGCGGCCTACACCTTGTAAAAGCAAAAAGCATTGTAAAATATTGTGCATTTATAAATATGAAGCTATGAGTTCGTCACACTGTCAGTGGTGTACATTTTCAGGTGGCCTTATGTACATTTACAGATGTTAGATGAAGAAGCGGCTCATTTTTCAAAGCAAATTGTGACTATGTACAATTAAACTGTTCTCTAACATTTGAACACGACTCTGCTCGCTCTTTCTGCACCGTTTTTATTACGACAATGAAAACTACCATCATTCATATTCAGTGTCGGGAAGGTTACTTTTAAAATGTATTCCCCTACAGATTACATACACCAAAATGTAGTTTGTAACGTAATCCATAAAATTACTTTAGGTGAGTAACGTTATCTGAATACTTTGGATTACTTAATATTGTCATGTTTTTTAAAACTACATGAACCACATCCTCCAAATTCATGTTTGTTCACTTCAAATTGTCTGTTGAGTCCAAGTCTCCATGAATAGGTTTGCTGTAGAGAAGCAAAGACTAGGAAATCTTCACATGAGAAGTTTTGTCTGCTAAAAGAAAAATAAAAAATATTATTGATAGAGAAATGATTTCTATATGAGATCACTGCTGCTTTAAATGATGTCCACCTACTGTTAATGTCATATTGTTTATTAAAAAATCACTGTCAGTACAAACATAAAGGTGCTAGTAAAAATCAATATTGGATGTTTTTTACTCAAAATGATGCAGAATCAGATTCTTAACAACGATTATTAACGACCTCGTCCATTGTGTGACTGACGCCACCAACGTTAACATGACGTTTACACAGCTCTTAGTGCGCGTGGTCTGATTGGGTTTCCAGAAATGAGTGGAATTGCCATAATAAAATAATTTTAAAAATGTGATATAGCCCAGAATGTGAAAACAGGAAAATCCCGCCATGTAGGCTAATCCATTTATTTCAGCAAAGTAACTGTAATCCAATTACCACTCACTGAAACAGTAACTGTAACTGAATACAGTTACTCATAATTTGTACTCTGATTACGTAATGCCGGTACATGTAATCCGTTACTCCCCAACACTATTCATATTGAAAAGGTAATGGGTCCATCTTAGAATGACAACTTTATTAATGATTTGCTTTACTACTTGTAAAATCTCATGTATTGTACCACCACCATTATTACCACGTGTCAGTAGTTCCTCATGTTTACTGCATTACTACATTTCAAAAACTTACAAACTTATAGAGGTGGGTAGAATAGCCACAAGTTTTACTCAAAGTAAGAGCAATGTTACTTTAAAATAACATTGAAGTAGAAATACAAATGCAAGTGCTCCAACAAATGACTCAAGAGTAAAAAACAAAAAAGTACTTGGGAAAACTATACTCAAGAGTATAAAGAGTAACTGACGGGACATGAAATCTGATTTATAATTTGAAAAATGACATGATTTCTGATGGAGTGATGCAAGAAGCAAATGTTCATGTTTACTCAAATAATATCATTGACGTAACAGTACTCTTAATCAAGTAGGAGGAAAAGTAGCAAAGTCGTAGTTCCACTAGACCAGGTTTCAGGCACATGTGGGTAGTACTCAGTTACATTTACTCATCATTTACTGAGTTACATTTCCTGATAATATTACACTTGAGCTGTGCTTCCTTTTCCCACTGCGAGTCTAAAGTGACAATCTTTGTGACAATGATTTGAACATTTGTGTTTCGTGCAGCTCCTTCACATCTGATTTAGTTTGTTTCATTTTTGTATCTGTCCTTTGAAAATACCTGATCTTATACTTCAAATTATAAATCAGATGTTATGTCTCAACAGTTACTTGAGTAGCACTTTTTCCAAATACAGTTTTACTCCACTTGAGTAATTTCTTGGACCACTACTTTGTACTTCTTGAATAATATTATTACTAGCTTGTGTAATAACATTAGTTGTCTGCTCTCCGCACTCGAGTCATGTGCAATAGATTTGGAAAGAACGGAGAAGCGCTCAGGACAGACGGGAAAGCACCTGTCCGCTTTACGTAAGGGGGCGGGGCTTGAGCTGACGCGACACACCTGCGCACGAGCAAGGAGCGCTCACCTGCGCACGAGGAGGGAGGAAGAAAACAAGAGCTCGAGACAGAGCCAAAGTCCGACATCATGAGGCTCCTGGTGCTTTCTGCTTTGTCCTGCGTGTGTCTGGCCCTGTGTCCGGACCTGTGTCCAGCGGCTCCCGCGGTAAGAACCGGCTCCTGCCGCCACCTTCATGTCCTTCTGATGATTAGAGCAATTCTGTACCATCTGAACATCAAACAATAGACGTGGACTCTGTGCTTTACTCACTTCCTGTTTTGTGCTCGTACAAGATTTAGGTTGGGCAAAGAAGAACCTAGATTTATTTATTTATTTACTTTTTACTTTTTACTTTGAACTGAAATTATATTTAATTTAAATAATATAATCTATATTTATACTGTTACTGTTCCCATCACATTTTATGGCAGACTGTCTAATAGCTACTGAATTGCATTGGATTACATTTTATTTATCAAATAGGCTAAATAAATGTAAGCGTTTTTTGTTTTTGTTTTTTCCTCCTTCCCTTATTATACATAGATAAAAATATATAAATATACATTTCCTATGAATACACACAGTTTTCATTCTCTTACATTCGTATTAATCTGTACATGATTAGACTTCTGGTGATGTGGACCTGTACGAGTGTGTTTATAACACAGTGAGTAAAACAGTCAGAGTAAAATGTGACCTATACTGGCTTTTCTTTGTATATCGGCTAGTTTCAGAGTCGATCTTTGCCTTTGAATACATGCAGCAGGTTTATTTTGACCTGAGTACATGTGTACGGAGGCACATTCTGCTTTGACACATGGGAGTAAATGTGGTACTTTTTAAGATGAATTATTTATAATGACAACATACTGGTGTTGTCATGATACTGAGGAATAGACTCAATACTCAATATCAATTCTGATTCCACGATGATTAATAAAAATATATTTAGACAATAGAATGTGCTCTTCAACATAAATGGGAGTTCTTTCTTTTCTATTCCCATGTGTGTGTTATATGTGTGTGATCCTCAGTGGTCCATGTGTGTACTAGTCTCTCTGCTCTGATACTTGTTCTGATTCAGCTCAACATTATTATAATTATTATTTTATTATTTATTTATTTATTTCGGTCACAGGTATATTTTGACATTAATTCACAGACAGTCATATTTACCATCATTTTAAAGACATTTAGGAAAGCTTAATTTCTGTCCTGTCAAATAAGTATCTAGTTTTGACAGTAGTTTCAGTATTTTCAGGCTCAGTTTCCATGGTGATTCATCTTTCTGTACAGACTTGTATTAGTATATTGAGTTTCAAAGCTGGTGCGGCGCAGACACCGGGCCTGTGCGCTCTTCCTTGTTGTGGTTTGTGGACCGCACTGGTACAGAAGTGTGACATGTGAGTCTGAGCTGTGGTTTAATGAGAGACACGCTTTACACAGAACTCTGCCTCTGGGAAAGGCTCTGCTCAGGCCCACTCGGAAACCAAACCAAACATTTCACTTTAAAACTTTCAAATAATGTAAGTGAAATAAGTCAACAAAACCACAAGCCAAGCATTAGCAGGAACTAGCCAGCAGGTGTTAGACGCTATGGTTTTAATTTAGTTCTAAATTGAAATCCCCTAATATGACTGATATAAAAATTCACACCATTTTTGAATTCCTATTAGGGTTGTCAAAAGTATTGAAAATCAGACAATAATGGATACTAGTAACTGATAACTACTACTGAATCTAGATCCAAATTTTTTCGCAGGTATCAATACTAAAAAAGTCTCATTGACAGGACAGAAATGAACCTTTCCTGAATAGTTTTAGAAAGATGTTGAGCTGCATCAGAACAAGTAGAAGAGCACATGGACCAACATGAACCTCCTGCACCACTGACCATTACACACATAAAACACACATGGAATAGAAAAGAAAGAGCTTTTAATATGGAAAGTCACATTGTTTTGTCTGAAGAAAGAGTGCCTTTTTATTATCACTGAGTTATCGGCAGTGTTGGGAAGGTTACTTTTAAAATGTATTCTCCTACAGATTACAGATTACACACACCAAAATGTAGTTTGTAATGGAATCCATTAAATTACTTAAAGTGAGTAATGTAATCTGAATACTTTGGATTACTTGATTTACTGTAGAGAAGCAAAGACGAGGAAATCTTCACATAAGATGTTTTGTCTGATAAAAGAAAATAAAAAGTCAGACTTTACTGAACCAAATTAAAAATATTATTGATAGAAGAAGAGGAGACATGTCCACACAGCATGGTTTAGTCCTGTTCAATCCTATTTTAGTCCTGGTTTAGTCCTAGTTTAGACCTGGTTTTAGACCTGGTTTTGGACCTGGTTTTAGACCTCGTTTTAGTCCTAGTTTAGACCTGATTTTAGTCCTGGTTTAGTCCTAGTTTAGACCTAGGTTTAGTCCTGGTTTAGTCCTGGTTTAGTCCTGGTTTAGTCCTGGTTTTAGACCTGGTTTTAGACCTGGTTTTAGACCTGGTTTTAGACCTGGTTTTAGACCTGGTTTTAGACCTGGTTTAGTGTCCGTCAATGAGTGGAATTACCAAAAAAAAAAAAAAAAAAAAGGGATATAGCCCAAAAGGTGAAAACAGGAAAAATACCGCTGTGTAATCCATTTATTTCAACCAAGTAACTGTAATCTAATTACCACTCACTGAAACAGTAACTGTAATCGAATACAGTTTCTCATAATTTGTACTCTGATTACGTAACTCCGGTACATGTAATCTGTTACTCCCCAACACTGGTTATCGGGTGTATTTCTTCGTATTAAAATCAATCCTGAAATGATCGGATGGTGAAAGTGTGATCCTGCGTTTTATCCTGTCCTTCTTTTTTTAACCATAAAAATATCATTTAAAAAGAATTAGCAGAAGAGATGTAGAGTGACAGATTAGAATATCTGTCTTGCTATGTGTAGGTCTGTAACGATAATTACTATATCCACTTCAGAATATTATAAATGGAACAATACTTACACACACAGGTCAGATCTATGGAAAGGTGTGCCTGTTTTTTAAAGCAAGATTTACTTTGTATTTATTCAATTACAGGTGATTTTTACTGCTCAAAAAATACCTAGAAAAACTTGGTCTGGTTTGGTCTCCAAAATGATAGAAATGCTTAATGCCATACTATGAAACATTCCAGACAAAGCAATAACATTTCCATGGAGAAAAGTTGGTGGCAAATCCTCCAGTAGAAAAGTTACACAATGCACTAATTACAAATCACAATGAGGCAGTCCTCCTGTTACCAATACAAATGCACTCTATGTTCTTTGACAACTTTGGTTTTGTCTCCGCAGAGATCCATGCCTCCTGAAGACCTGGAGGCGTCTGGAGATGACCTGGAGATGGACCTGGACCTGGACCTGGAGGGCTCAGGCTCAGGCTCAGGGGAAAAGCAGGAGACAGGTATGATGCACCACTTCAGCCTCACAGTGGACGAGTGGTTCATAGTCTCGATAACGACTCTTGAAGTGCTATGTATTACTGAAGTAAATCTAGACCATAAACAATAATACTGCAACCAAACTATAAAGGATTATTGACTTGGTTTATCCCCCAAAAAATATATGTTGTGAAAAGATATGAGCTGCAATAAATAACAGAAAGCAACACAGTTCCACAATTTCATTTGAGTACAGAAAAATAACTAACATTCTCCTACAAGTGGAAAAAAGTACTCCCCAAAAAACATCTGTCCATCCATTAGAGCATTTATGGTGACATGCCCACCAGGGATTTTGTTTGTTCTACTACTGCAGCATTCAATAAACAGTCAGACTTTTTGATTTGCCTTTTGGGGTCAGTGATTTACGAATAATATTTTGGTTTTAATGTATCATTGGTCAATTTTCAAGGTTTGAAAACTGTAAAATTGATCTGCAAAGGTTGACATTTGCTGCTTTAAGCGAATGGCAAAGATGACGATCATTCAATAGACTTTATAGGAAAAACAGTAGTACCATTTCAACTTATAATATCTTATCTATTTATCTATCTATATCTATATCTATATCTGTCTATATAAATAATCTCCATCTGTATCCGTTTGTCTGTCCGTCTAATGTTTTTTATTTTTATTTATTTGTAAAGGGGTATTAATGAACATTTAACCGATGTGGCTAATTTCCAACTCACTAACCGCTGCACATGCAATTCATCTCGGACAGTTTAATTAAAGTTTGAAGTCAAACGTTAATGTTTTTTTAAGAAGCAACAGTGTGTGTTGGAGCCATATGTCCTGTCTGTCTTTTGGATGGCTGTGAGGAATGCCAATAAACAACTGAGGGACACAGTATTTTGACTCTGTTTTGTGGCAGAGACGTGTCCGAGACGCCACACTCGCTGCAGTCAGAGCACACTGCCAGTTCCAGTGTGATTGGTGTAACCGGTATCCATACTTGTATCAGAAACACCGGACTGTACTCGGGCCAGTCTTACGTGATGTTACCAAACAGTGGGGGTTGCAGAGGCCTCTGAAGGCAGCACACACTTAGATTTAGGTGTTTTTGACCAGAAAGCTGCAAATGTACCTAGTTTGCACTCAAGCTGCTGAAAGATGATCAGGAACAGAAGACAATGCTTTAAAACACTATATACTCACTTAAGTAGAGAATGGATTTAGTTTTTAGTTTCACTTAAAGAACTGCTCGTGTGTCCAGAGCTGTGGGTTCGTTTTGCCACACAGGTCTGTAGTGCTAGTGTTAGTGTTTCTGTAATGATGTAATATAACATGATAAAGGTTTGCTGTGTAATATTTAACCAGGCTCTTCTGTGTCTTTGCAGTGATGGTGGAGGAAAAGTCCACTAACCAGGGCTCTGGTAGAGAACACCCATATCCAGCAATCCATAAATATGAAGAAGCTGAGCCGGTATGTTCTAATAAATAAGGATTACAGACATTTCAAAAGAAATAAAGCATTTGTGTTAGAATGTCCTCTTCTGTTATTGATTTATAATTGATACAGCAGTTTGGAAAACTATTTAAGTGCTTTGGAGAAGTAGACAGACTAATAATAAAGAGTTACTCAAATGTGTGAATGAAACAAAACACAGCTCCAGGTCTGTTTTTGTGGAGGTCATGCTATTATAATCATCATAGAAGCATCAGTGCAGCCTTTACAATCCTTCTTACGTAGAAACTGTGCTCCCTCCCACACCTGTGACACAGAAAAGCCTCATGATGTCACATGCTTCAATACAGGGAGTGGAGTGAACCATAGTAAACTTTACTGACAGGTTTGGAAATAACACCCAGCAGTAGTTCCAGTAAAACGACAGTTAACACAGGGAGTGTGCCAGTCCTCCACCCCACCTACGACAACAGCAACAACTACAGGCCCTGTCTGAGAGTATGAGCAACAGTGTGATGGGTCCATAGGTGTGTGTGTGTGTGTGTGTGTGTGTGTGTGCATGTGTGTGTGGGCTGACTTGTTTCTGTGTGTGCATACAGGAGCTTGAAGGTCCCTGGGACAGAACGCCCATCATGGTCCAGTCCAAGAGCATCATGGAAAGCAAAGAAGTCCTCACAGGTAATCACAGAAACCAGCTCTGTGTCCACGCAGCTGTTCACTCAGATACATGTGCTGCATACTTCGTACACAGAAAAAGACAGTGTGTTATGAAAAATAGATTTTTTTTCAAACCCTCCTTATGGTTAGCTGTAAGATTCTGTGCTCCTCTCACAAGCTTATGTCACTCATGCTCCCAAGTTTTGAGCGTTATATGTTCCAGATCTGGTATTTTTTACTATTTTTAAACATAAAATGCTTTGAACATAAAAAATGACATGATAAGCTTGTAATACATTTCTTTGTCAGCAGGTTGAGCTTGTATGTATACACACTTTTTCTCAAAATGTCACTTGCACACTATTTATTGCTCTGCGTGTCCTTTGAATATGATGTGATCTGTGTGTGTGTGTGCAGGAGTGATTGCTGGAGGACTGGGGGGGCTGGTGCTGGCTGTGGTGCTGGCGGGTTTCCTCATCTACAAATGGCAGAAGAAAGACGTGGTTCCAGGATACAGCCCGGCCAGCAGGATAGTGACAGGGCAGGACCACCTCCGAGACCAGAAGGAGGCGCTGCAGGGAGAAGACGTAATACTCGTATGACCTCACTGTACTCTCTGCCTGCTGCTGCTGCGGTACTTTATGACAAGTCAATGTGTCCCACTACTAGACGCTAGGGCTATAGTCGATTAAAGAGGGGGTATTTTGTAAACTCCACTGTCTGGAACTTTCTACCATGTTATAACAATTCCCTTATCAAAAACATGCCTGAAGAGGGTTTATATGTCATCCATGCATGTTTAAATAATCTAGTGATCTCTCCCAGGCCACATTTCAACCTATCTTATAGTTAACTGCAAGATTCTGTGCAAGGAATCGCCCACATGCCTACATTACCCATGTGCCCACATGACAATTTCCCAGAAATATACAAAACAGTACACAGCAACTTGACAAACCTGATGTGATGTGCAGTAGTTTCATTATCAGATGCTCCTGATTGTAATGTGATAACGCTCTGAAAATAGTAAAAGATAACATGGTGATGTAAGTATGTTTATGTGTAGAAGTAAAATAACCCCTATTTAAAGACGTGTGCTGCCATTTGACTGGTTGACTAAAAATGGGGCGCTGCAAAAGCTCTCAAAACTATTCCCTTTGTGTATCTGACCCAGACTACACCTGCATGCACTTATATAAACACAGATTCCACTTGTGAATCATGAATTTAATCTGACGTTTTACTTTATAAATAACACAATATACCAGATCTTCAGCTCACTCACACTCTTCTCCTTTCTGCTCTTGTCCCATATAAAGCCTTCTCAGCTAAACAGAAACATGTTTAGTCAACTAAGACAAAGTTTGTGCTTCTAAGACTCGATTCATCAGCTGATGAATCGACTGAAGGACTAAAGCCCTACTACATCTGTAAATATGTTGATTATTCGAAGTGTAATTTATTAGAAAACGTTGATTGAAATGCGTATGTTTTATCCTTGTATGTGTCATGTGTAAAGACTGTTTCTGTTCATGAATGGTTAACCTGTACAAACACAACTGCATCAGTGAAATGATTAAGCCTTGAAAACGCGTCAAATGGATTAAGTATTTCTATTTCATTGTTTTGTCTGTGCTCTGTAGTGAATCTGGCACGCTTGATAATCCCATTATTAAAGGTCCTATATTCCACAAACCTGACTCTTGTAAGATTTAATCCATGTTCAAATGTTTGAGTAACACTTTATTATTACTATGTCTACATCTCCAAAGCTCAAAATGCTCTGTTCCACTTTGTGGTAGTTTTCAAGTTAATTTTTTACCTTGTTGAGTAAGACATGCAAATTCATGCCTAAAATCATCCAAATGAAGCTGTATGGAGTTTAATGTTTAGTAATACAGGAAGTGCTCCACTTCCTGGTGCGGTCCAGTTTTTCATGAATCATGGAGTCTACGATATGACTGTGACTGGATTCTGTTCAGGTTGCTGTGGTCTTCTCTCAGGTCCAACAGCTACTGTGCAGCAGTGTTATATGATCTCTAACATGCCTTTCCAGCCTTGGTCTGCTCTGGTGTTATTACCCTGCCACTGAGCGTACACTTTCACAGGTTAAGGCAATTTATTCATCTATCTTCGTTATCTCATGTGTTCCTCCTTAGGCGGCTGGCCAAGGCTTGGAGTCTTGGTGTTTTGAGTGCTTCTCATGGCTCCCACGGTTGCTCTTATAGTCCTGCACCTCTAGGATCACTGCTGCTGAAGTGTAGATCAGCTCATTGGTTTCAGTGATGGTTGTGATAAAGATCGATCTTAGGATGTTGGAACATTGAGCTGCTGGTTGTTTGGCCGTTAGCTTGGACTGTGGGTATAGTAATAACCATTTCTCCCACATCCTGTTCATGTCTTGCTTATCACACACACAGAGGGGGTCGCACTGCAGAGGGAACAATAGCAGATGTTGAGGACAGTTACAAGTACCTTGGTATCCCACAAGCAAATGGCTCCTTGAAGAGGCAACAAGGAAATACCTGCAAAGAGTGAGACAAGTTCTAAGAAGCAGCTCAATGGAAGAACAAGGCGCAGGCAATCAACAGCTCCGCCCTGTCAGGGATCAGATCCCAGCAGGAATCATACGCTGACCAAAGGAGGAGATACAGACCACAGATGTTAAGACATGAAAGCTCCTGACCATGCAAGGAGGGTTCCATCCTAAATCCAACACCCTGAGACTGTACACAAGCTGGAAGGAAGGAGGCCGAGGACTAGTGAGTATATGTGTATGTGTATATAATGTAATGTAATGTAATGTAATGTAGCACCTCTGCACAAGACTCACATCCCCCAAATACAAGTGTGCACCAGAGACTAGAGCCACTGTGAACAATGGAGACATGTTAGGAAGTGGCAAAGGAGCTGAGAGCAGGAAACACAAGTGCTCTGTTTGTAAAGAGACTTTTGGGTCTAAATATAAACTACAAATACACAGGAGAGTCCACACAGGAGAGGAATTCAGCTGTTCAGTCTGTAAGAAAGTGTTTGCTGTAAGAGCAACACATATGAGGACACACCATAGACTGAATACAGAAATGGATATAGCTAAGGACACAGCTTACACGCTCTTCTGGCTCCTACTGACCGTGGCTCCCTTTGTATTACATTGTAATATTGGGGCCCCTCTCTCTGTACCTGCTCCTGTGAGCCTCATCATTTTGATCTTAAAATGTCTGTATTTACCTTTGGGACAATAGATGGAAATTCATCAGCTCAAGACATAAGAAGAGAGAGAGAGCTGATCAGTAAAAACACTTCTGTCAGGAGTTCTCTGCATAGAACAACACAAAAAATCCATTCATCTGTAAACCTTTTTCTTTGCTCTAGCGAGGAACTTGGTGTTTTTCTGTACTATGATCAGATTTGAGCTGTGGAGGATTGAGGAGGCACTAGGTGGCGCCAGCCTCGCTATGAACAAATCACTTCGATGACTCGTTATAGATACAAACTAACTAGTAAAGTGATTCATTCTGCGTTTTATTTATTGCAGTTTGTGTTTTTGGAACATTATTGTACATTTACAATCGTTTTTAGGGATAAATCTGCTCTTGTGTTAGTGGCATAACTTAGTGTCAGTATTATCGTTTATTGTCTATATTTTCTTCAAAAATATATTGTACTTCAAAATGTGTAATCCAGACAGGCCTTATGTATATTCTCTATTATGAAATCTAAGAACTAATAAACCTAAAGACTAATAAGCATAATCAGTCCACCGGTGATATCTTCTCTACAAGTGTCAACACCAAAACACACCCACAGAGGGCACTGTTGTCTAAAAAAAAAAAAAAAAAAAAAAAGTTGCCTACTGGACTTCCAACGAGTTAAACACATTTGTCTCATGATATGTTAACCAGGACTCCAAATCACCATTAGGCTCTATTTCTATTCTATGTTAACAGATTTCTGTAATGTTACTCACAAGAAACAGTTTAATACTGTATGATACTGAATATTATAGTACTAATAATAGTAATAGTAATAGTAATAGTAATAGTAATAATCAGTGTTGGGAAGGTTACTTTTAAAATGTATTCCCCTACAGATTACAGATTACATAACCCAAAATGTAGTTTGTAACGTAATCCATTAAATTACTTAAAGTGAGTAACGTAATCTGAATACTTTGGATTACTTGATTTGCTGTAGAGCAGCAAAGACGAGGAAATCTTCACATAAGATGAAATAAAAAGCCCAGACTTTACTTAACCAAATTAAAAATAGTATTGATAGAAGAGGAGGAGACAAGGTCGGCACAGCATGATTTAGTCCTGTTAAATCCTGTTTGAGACATAGTTTAGACCTGGTTTTAGTCCTGGTTTAGGCCTAGTTTAGACCTGGTTTTAGTCCTGGTTTAGACCAGGTTTGGACCTGGTTTTAGACCTGGTTTTAGACCTGGTTTAGACCAGGTTTAGTGTCCGTCAATGAGTGGAATTACCGAAAAAAAAGAAAAGAAAAGGGATATAGCCCAAAAGGTGAAAACAGGAAAAATACCGCTGTGTAATCCATTTATTTCAACCAAGTAACTGTAATCTAATTACCACTCACTTAAACATTAACTGTAACAGAATACAGTTACTCATAATTTGTACTCTGATTATATAACTCTGGTACATGTAATCTGTTACTTCCAAACACTGGTAATAGTAATAGTTTGGTATTGCTGGGTTTCAGATGGCATCTCAGCTTTTTATATCTATAACTGTACCCATCTAAGACTTGTCATGGCTAAACATGAAGACCTCTCTGCATTTCTGTTCTACTAAGGAGCTCACCAGAGGAAAAAGTTTGGAGACCCCTGGTTTAATGGCACTGGTTAAAATGTTTTGTAAATGTATTCTTTATGTTTGAGAATTCATATTGAAAACCATTAAATGAATAAAAACATGCTATAATAGAAAATTGTGATCGATTAATATAAAAACACTTAATTTCTGTCACATTGCCCAACCCTAACAACATGACAAATAAATATAGCAAAGTGGATAATATTGTTGGTGGTGTTTCCATCCAGTGTGGTGTGGCAGCATTTCACAGTGCAGTATTATTAGCAGCACTAGTAATATTGCAGAAGTCTTGCAGTACTGAATTAGTTGAAGTACTGCAGTAGGCTTGTAGTACAGTGGTGGTCCCCCATTGTGTAAAATAAACTGGGCTTTGTTGGCATGACTAAATTAGACGTTGTTGCTCATTGTAAACTCATAAAAGAGACTACACTGGTGAAACATGAATGCTTAAAGATTAAATACAGGAAGTGACATTAAACTCCCCAATTTGAATGAGATTGAATTATTCAAATAAAATCATGTGTGTCACCATAGTCTTAACCTAATCTAAAACACAGTTAAAATCCTTATATTTAAGATTTGAATTCAAAATGTATTTAAAGACAATTCAGTTTCAAAATGTATTTTCTGGTTGGAAATTATGACATCGCACTAACTGTTATCTAGTAGCCATGATGTACACTTAGAAAATATTACATGGAAGATTTGTAAATAATTTGTTGGCTATTTCATAATAAAGTACTATTAATAGGGAATTAATAGGGAAATCTGTCTCTTGCCACCAAAACACCTCTTACGTACACATAAACTGTTATAACTAATAAAAATATCACTAAACACCTTTCCTTTGTTGAAATAATGTTAAGTATTAGAAAATGTGGCCCTTGTGTGTGTCTAACTTTTCGATAGAGTGATGAATAATAATTATAGCAATACAAACTCTGAAATAGAACTATCTACTTCCCATAGACTATACAATCTTATATATACTATACGTCCTCTGATTTCATCATGTTTTCCAACTTTTCTTCACAAATGACTTCTTAATTGGTGCAAATTACAATTTACATTTACAACAATTTTCCCACCAAATTAAGTCCAAATGAGAGAATTGCACTATAAGTAGCAGTAGTCTTCTAGTACGGTATTGGGTAGTCAGTATTGCGGACGTTCCTCTGCTCCATCAGCCCCGGTGCTCCTGTCCTGCTCCGGGCTCCTCCTGCTCTGCTCCGGGCTCCTCCTGCTCTGCGCTCAGGGCTCCTCCTGCTCCGTCCCCCAGGCTGCTCCGTGCCGTGCGTCGCTCACACCGCTGCTGTGTGTGGGTCGTGTCCGCTCGCTGTGCATGCTCAGAGGCTTGTACCCGTCCGGGCCTCAGCTCTTGATGTTCCTCCCTCCGTTTGTAGAGGACATGCATCACCTCAAACCGTTTCGGGACAGACTGTACACGACCCGGTGCTGCGGGTGCTGTCATGTCCGGACAGGCACCATCATCCTGGGGACATGGTACATGGTAAGAACACGGAGCCCACGGCTAGCGGCTAATGTGGCTAAAAACAGAGCTAGCTGACGATTGAACTTGACGAGTAGTTAGCTTCTCGTAGACTTCCTTTGGTTTTTATGCAGTCTGATACACACTTTGACACATTTCAACGCAGAACATACTCGCAGTGTTTTTATTATTCGCAAAATAGCGGGCGTTTGCGTCATTCTGTGCTCCATGTAGCGTTAGCCTGTTAGCATTGGTCTCTCGAAAAGGTGTAGTCATTATTTTGGACTAAACTTCTCATGCTGATAAAGTGGAAGTCATTGACGCCCATAAGCAGCGTGTTAGACCTGCACCATTCCAGCTGCACTGCCTAACAGTGTCTGTCTCATCAAATATTGCTCAACTTGGAATATTCCAGTTCATAGTTTAAACCCCGATGTCTTTTATTCATTGAAGTACAGAACAGTTACATGTCTTGATGCCAAAAATAGTTGTTTGCTTGTTTCAGTGGAGATTGCTAATGCCATTATGTGGAACATTCAAGGAAAAACTACATCTCTATGGACATGAGAAGTTTTAGGGCCTCCACTAAAAACCAAAACAGCCCCTTCAAACCCAGCAGCAGCAGCACAGCTACTCCAGCAGGAACTGAAGTGTGTCCGGTGTCACATGTACAACAACAACAATCCACTGACTAACGTAGATCCTATAATGTTTTATTAAACATTGTTTACTTTATTTATCCATTTATCTGACTATGTAACAAGCGGACAGTCAGAACCTTTCACACACTGAACTGAGATTGACTTTTTTCTTTCTTTTTCTTTCCTTTTCAGATTATTGTTTAGGTGTTTTTCATTGTTTAGGGGCAGCACTGGCTATAATAAATATAGAGGGAACAACATAAACCATGATCATTTGCTCTGTTTCAGTGCAAACAGCATGAAGAAATAATAAGTGATGTAAAATCTACATCTGAATTCTTTGGATTGTGACAGAACCAAAGCCAAAGCATTTTAAAAGGAAAAAGTAGCATATTCACCATTTGTTGGTCCCCTCAAAATATTAAGATTGGTTAAGATTTATATCATGAAAATATTATAGTACCGGGAGATCAAAATCTCCCTGTACTTGTGAGTTTTTCTGAGCAGCCCCTCTCAGCCCCTCTCAGCTGCTCATATGGTTCTTGTTGGTGTTTCAGGTGGTGAACCTGTTGATGGACATCCTGCTGACCGTTGCAGTGAGCCACCCTGGCAATGTGCCCACCATCGACCTGCAGTACGAGGTCATCGACCACTATTTTGCCTCAGACCGCATGTCTGGTGAGTGTGCTCTGCCCACCACAGCGCCATGTGGGGTCTGCTCATGGCTGTACCGCACACAGCAAACTGCCACAGAAGGACCAGTGTGGGCGTCTGTGGCTCAATTGGTGGTAGACATTATGATCATTCAGGAAACAAATGACAGAGATGGATTGGGCGAGAGCTTTTAAAAACTCTTACTACGATGTGATTGTTCTCAATTGGCGTTTGACTCTAAATGTTCCTGTCTGTGTGTACAAACTGCTAATCCTGTAGTAAATAGGTTTCCTGTCTCCTTATAATGTTGCTGGACTGTCCACTGAATCATCGTGTTCAAAATGGGTTGTATATGTAATCACAATTTCTTTTGATCTCCTCCTGATGTGTAATTGTATGTTTTCAAATGAGTATATCAGATGAAATAGTTCATGAGGAGTGTGTGGTCTCTTTACTGTGCCCCTGAGAGACTGAAACATTTTTAGATTGACACAAAACTACTGACTTTAGACTGTGACTGAATTTGAGGAAGTCCACTGAACCCACAGGACGCATGTGCTGCACTCTAGTCCTTTTCTTCTGTGCTGTGACATCAGCAGTGGCTTCCTGTTGTTTCTAATGAGGGACTAGGAGCAAGGTCACAGCAGCCACATGGGCACCACTCCTTTAGTTGTGTGTGTGTGTGTAAGAGGGTGGTCCACTGGGACAGCTGCAGGCTCAGGGTGCTACACCAACATACTGAAGGAACAATGAAACAAATGCTGTTGACTGAAGATGGCATTTATTTAATAAATACAAAAATAACTTAAAATATCAAACATTATGAGACTTTCTAGGCCAACAATGACCAGTATATAGTCCTATATCTATTTCTCACATAGCATAATAGTCCTCTGTTAAGGACTAACATGATTTCTCTGAGTATTGTGTTTACTGTTTTTATAGTGTGTATCATTACCTGTGTGTGCCGGCACATTATCTGAGTGTAAATGCCTTAGACCAATATATCATATATCCAGACCCCTCCCTCTCCCCTTTAGTCCTCCGGACCCCACCCCTCCTCCCCCTCCCTCTCCCCTTTAGTCCTCCGGACCCCACCTCTCCTCCCCCTCCCTCTCCCCTTTAGTCCTCCAGGTACTGTTTAGAGTTGAGCAGCTCTATCTGAAATGTGGTTTTGGATGTTTGGGTGCTGCATTCATGTGGTCAGGGTTCCATCTTGTTTGCGTTGCGATCGTGTAGCCCACTCACTGTGGGTGTCCAGTAGGGCTAAACTGTAAGATTTTTTGTTGTTTACCTTCTCAAAACAAATTATTTCTATACTTTTGGGTGTTAGCGTTGCATCGGTAATTTACAGTTGTAGTGTCAGGTCTTTCTTGTGCAGATCTCTGTTGCTCTTATGATCTGGACAACTGACAGTTAACTCAAAAATATAATCACTTTTAGTCAATGAGCTCAAACGTGTTAGATAAATGGACAAATGAGCTGATTTTTGTCTTTTGTCTCCACTGAGCAGGTGACGTCAGGAGCAGACTTCGGGCAGACGGTTTTGGCCCTGAGGATCATATGATCACATGAATGCAGCATTAGTTCCACTTTAACTGTGGCATTAGTGCATCCAGATATCAGTTTTATCGTAATGTGCATTGCTAAATATGAATACCTTTTATAAATAGCAAGCATCAAACTGATGTTAAGTAATAGTGAAGTTTACAAATTTACTTTTTCTTATTTTTATATGGGATATAAATTTACATGAGTCATGGATATGCAGACAATAAAGAAAGAAAATACAACCAAGCAATATACAGGTAAAGATAAAAAATAAAATGAACAGATCAGGAAGACCTTCTAAGTCCTGAAACAAAGTATCCATGCTAACAAAGTCTACTGGTGCACTCACTTGGCCTTTATGAAATGGGATGCAGCCTGGGTTGTTGCCTTTATTATTGTATAAATAACAAAATCTAGCAAATGCAATGGAAAATTTCACATAACATTTATCCCACTGACTTACTAATCTAAAACATCATAAATGATAATACCCCCCCTCCCCATTGTATCTAAACACAGGATGGAACAGAAAATGTATCCAAAATGTACAAAAACAATGTTTAATCTGCCCTGAATGAAATTTATTTATTTCTGTTGTAGAAAAGTAAGCCTCAACCTAACTCTCTCAACACTCTCCCCCTCTCTCTGTGCATGTGTTCAGAAAACGCCTGTGTGGGGTTTGCCATCTCTCTGCTCATGCTCACCATCAGTGCCATGCTGGTGTACGGAGCCATCACTGTAAGTCACACTGCAAGCATCTACTAATAAATATAAATATAACAGGCACTTTGTGCTACATTTCAAATGTATGAAAAGAGCTATACAACTAAAGTTTGATTGATTGATATATGTACACTACCAATTAAATATTTGGACTCGCCTCTTATTAACTACTTTGTACAAATGATATACATACACAAGACATGAAATATATGAAGTAAGATGCATGGAATTGTGTAGCAAAGGAAAAACAAGTTAAATAACTCCACAAAATATATTTTAAAAATATTGTATAACCATATCCTCAAATCTTTGCTCATAAAATGTGTTTTTTTTGTTTTTTACTTTACTAAATAATTCCATATCTTGCTTTGTATATTTAATGTTTTCTGTGTACATCAAGTGTAGAATGTAGTAAACATATAACCAAAAAAACACGAATGAGTAGTAGTGGTAATGAGTGTAGGACTGGTAGTGTATGTTTGCCAATAGACCAGGCCTCACACTGCACTAGTACAGGACATGCTGGTACTATACATCCACACTGTATACAGCTTTATCATACTGCAGTAGTATATGATCATAGACCTAACCATACTGCACGATACAGACTGACCCATGTTTTTGTTATGTCCGTGGCCAATATCGATTGTTTAGAATCCAGAAAACCCAACAGCTGTTGGGTGAAGCTCTGCCCATATTCTTGCAGGGCGATTTTGGTCATTTCGAGTCATCTAACTTGAATTTTGTACAATATCATCCACAGCCTTGTTTTACTATAAACTAGATAAGAGCAGTGTAGTCACATGTAGTTTGCATGCAAGTGTTCAAATGTATGAAAAGAGCTATACAATGAATTGGTATGAATTCTTAGACCTCTGGTTGGACCACACTAACTATGAGCATTTGCTAAAATCACTATAAAGTGCAAATAGCGATATATGGGTCTATTCGTATACTACAGTAGTGCATAGGTCCAGCCTAATCACATTGCAGTAGTAAGGATGTGTTTAAAGAGTTGAAAGAGGGCCATGGAGGAGAGTTTTCATGCTGTTTGTCTTCACTCACAGGACTGGCCACTAGAGGGAGTCTTCACAGGTTTGGGTGCTGAGAGATGGTGATGAGTTCAGAATTGCACAATTGAAGTACTGAAACTTCTCACTAAAAATGACTGTTTACTTACAATCAATAGTCCATATTAAAGACAAAGTGTTTAATTTATTGTTGCTGAAACCAGTGACCTTCAGATGTGCAACATCCCCAGCTCTAGTGGTCCCTCTGCAGCTGAACAGTGAATAAAACCACCACATGCCCCTATAGATGAGCTAATAGTGAAGGACAGGACACATATGATGCTAAAAAATGAGAAATTAACTGTAAAACTGCCACTTGATGACATCACAAGGACAGAACAGAGCTTTTGAGATGTAAAGACACTAATAATAAAGGGTTATTTAAATATGTATGAAAAAAAGCACATCTCCAGATATGGTTTTGACGAGGACAACAACATTCTAACAGGACTAAAAGCTCACATGAGTCCATTGTGGTTAATATAGGACTATAGGCCCATAAACCATTACTGGCTCATTCTAGGGTCAAATTTAGTTTTCTATTAGCACAGCATTCATGGGGCTCACTTTCTGATTGTTCATTCCCGTTGCTGGCAGCAGAGGGGGCTTATACGCCTAAATATCTCATTGGAAGTGGAGGTGAAATTTATAAAGTATATTTTCTATATGCAGATATTATTTTGAGCTAGAAAAAAACACTTATCCAAGGTGGCCAAAAGTAGGTTTAAAGGACCTATTTTACACAAAATGTATTTTTGTGAGCTTTAAGCCATGTTATAATGTTATTTCCTCATTAAGATCATTGGTTGAATTGTGTTTTGTTTCATTCACACATATTTGAGTAACTTTTTATTATTAGGTCAAAATGCTCTTTTCCACCTTGTGATGTCATGTAGTGGTAGTTTTCAAGTTAACAGCTACTTTTTACCTTTAGTTCAGTAGAGATCGGCAATTCCAGGACTGAAATCATCCAAATGATTCTAGTGAAAGTCTACGGAGTTTAAAAAAAAAAATTGTGGAGCACTTCCCGTATGACCACATGACATCACAAGGTGGAACAGTGTTTTCACTGAGACAGGAACAAACCACAACTCCAGGTCTGTTTGTGACGAAGAAACAATTCTAACATAACATCAGAAAACAGTGGAATGATAAGATAATGAAAATCACAAGAATGCATCATGTGTCCTTTAACTGATTATACATCATGATAAATAATTACTTTTGAGAGTTGAATTCATCCACCGTAAATCACCATTCCCAGTATATTTAGTTGAATTGTATTGCAGTAGTGGTACATAGAATCTTTGACCCTGTTTTTGATCAAATTCCCATGTGATCATAGTACCTGTGCCTCCAGATAGCCTTGTGGTCCTGTCTAACTAACTCTCTTCTGTGTTTGTGTGTGTGTGTGTGTGTTTGTGTGTGCAGCACCGCGCCGGCTGGCTCATCCCCTTCTTCTGTTACCAGCTCTTTGACTTTGCTCTCAGCTGTCTGGTGGCCATCAGCTCCCTCACCTACCTGCCCCGCATCAAGGACTACCTGGACCAGCTGGTCAGAAAACTACTACTACAGCTTTTGTTTCATGTGGATAGGCCCAGTAATTACAGAGATTTGAATTGACAAGTATTCAGTCTGATTCTAAGTGAACACAGCCTGTCCATTTACCTGTCAAACTTCAGACTGCTCTGTGTTTTTTACAGAGGGATCAGTCTGGTCACCACCCCCTCTGTCGCGTCTTGAGGCAGGCACAAAATCACATTTGTTTATTTCAGTGAAGCGTATAAGCCATCTCTTGACTCAGATGAACAGAGTTTAGTGCGTCGCTCACTGATTCTGCGGAATTTTCAGTCCCCTGTGATATTTTTGTCTGTTCTTTTGGCCTAGAAAGTAGCCGTATTTGTTTTGATACGGATGGAGCTGTGTGTCTCTGATTGGCTAATCCACTCTTCAGTCACGCTCATTTGAACCCTGGGAGAGTGACGTGACCAGACACACATCATATAGTGTTGAAGAAGTGTGTATTCTGGATCCCAGGCGATCTATCCACAGGTTTCAGAGTGATGAAGAGTTCAGAGTTTTGTGTGACCTACTCTTCCTGGCTCCTGTGGTGATAATGTGTTGTGTTCCAGCCGGACTTCCCATACAAGGACAACCTCCTGTCCATGGACTCCAGCTGCCTGCTCATGTTTGTGCTCGTCTTCTTCGCCTTCCTCATCCTCCTCAAGGTGCGTGGGCTATGACCACATTACACACATATACTATTGATATTTTGCAGTGACATCATGCTGGGGGGCTGCATGTATGTCTATGGTAGAGATATACATGCAGAAAGTCAATAACTGAAAAACACTTTGCTAATGCGAGCTAGATTGTATGTAGTGTTAAACAGCACAAATCCACTTTCGTCTTGTAATTCCAGCGAAGTCTTTATGGTCAGCCTGTGTAAAACAAAGATTTAAGTCTTAACATGAGTAACAGAGCTTCAGACAGAGCCTCACCCCCAGACAAGGTTCAAGGTGCATTGGTGATATTCTGAATGTTTAGCGTTTATTCATTAAAGGTGTTTCTATTTCTCAAAACTACATGTATTCCTTCTGTGAATAGGGGCGAGCTGATCTCTCTACAGACCTGACTTGTAATGTAGTGTAGTGCTGGAACCTGCTTGTCTCTCTTGTGATACAGGTTTAATGTATACTGTGGAACAGCGTTGGGCGATATCCAAATTTTGATACTGTTAAACCTTCTCAGGATTTTACCAGAGTATACGTCACAGAGAAAACTCTCATACTCCACTGAGCCGTGTCCTTTAGTCCGACAGAAGCTGAACCGCATCAGCCATAAGGAAAGAGCTGTTTTTATCAGCACTTCATAGTCTATGCAAATGAGCCATGTGGTTAAAGTTGAATTTCTGTAACGCAAATGTGGCCTGAAACCAAAATGCTGCCAAATTGCAGAAGTACTAGTATTTCTTTGCTTGTCACACATGACATGGAACAAAACTAATCAAACATCATCTCCCCACACAGTTAAAAAAAAACATTATAGACACTGTTAGTTTTAAATCGTGATGCATTAAATTGAAAATACAAGCACACATTAATTTGTGCTGAGCAAACAAATGTAGGTATCAACAAATGATAATATTATATTAGGTCTTTATGTGCTGCAAATTTTTTTTAATGACAGTAATGAAACTGATACTGTTGCTACTTTTTGATACCATGGGATACTGTAATACCACCCAACCCTACTGTGGAACATTCTACCCAAAGAAATAACATTTCCATGGAGACAAGTAGGTGTTGTACCCTCCACTAGAAATGTTCCGCAGTGCACCTTTAATGATATCTGTTTGTTTTTTTTTGTTTTTTTTTTCCCATTTCCTCATAGATGTTTATGTTGCCATGCTTTCATTCATGTCCCCACGTGTGTGTGTTCAGGCCTACTTGATCAACTGTGTGTGGAACTGCTACAAATACATCAACAACAGGAACATGCCTGAGATCGCCGTGTACCCGGCCTTTGAGACCCCTCCCCAGGTACAGTACTGCACACCCCGTGGGAATGGGCCGCAATAAACACAACCAGCAGCAGGTGGTGGGATTTTGTCTTGTTTTGCTCGCTGTTGCTTGATTTTCTGTATTCAGTGTTGTGACATACAATTTGTTTAGGGACACTTTATTTTGAGAAAAGACGAAAATCTGAACGACTAAACTTATTCAAGAATCCCATGTATTTCAGAACATGTTTGTAGAAGTCTAAACTACAGGGTTAGCAGCATTTACATAAAATAAGACCTCATGGAGGCACGGGGAGGGCTGTGAATGATTTATTCTTAATTATGAATATTCTGAATATTTTACATGATGGCCAGGAGCCTCACAGCCATCTGTTTCCCATTTCATTTACCAGCTTCAATGTTGAAATCCAGTTGGTTTAAACCTAAAAGTCTTCTCTATGATGTGAATGGTCACACCCTAAACCCCAGCACCTGCACCAGTCCTGAGTCAGTGCTAGTGCAGCTTCTGCAGCTCAGGGAGGGAATTCTGCTTTCACATGAGGCGTGGCCATGCTGAGACCGAGACTATGAGCTCATTGAGAGAAGGTTTTGCAGAAGTTGTCAACAAAGCAAATGTGACTACTTTGAAGAATCTGACATGACTTTTTTTTTTTACTTTAAATTTAAAAAAATAAATAATTAGTTTTTTTCTAACTCATTTTGTATTATGTTGACTTTTAAATGTTTATTATGCTACATAATAAAGTGTGTAAACCTTTGACTGACAGTGTGAACAATACCATGTGTATTAAAACATGTTACTGCTCTCTTCTGTGTCCTCAGTACATTCTTCCCACTTATGAGATGGCCGTGAAGATGCCTGAGAAGGAGCCCCCCCCTCCGTACATGCCCGCTTAGCGTGTACCCCCCCCATCACCACTAACACCATTCCTACCACCGCACGCCCACATGAGCCCTGTGCAACCTCACAGACCCCTCCCCCCTCCCCACGTGTGCCACCTGTCCTGTGTCTGGAGGAAGAGGAGGAAGAGGAGGAGGAGGAGTCTACCAGCTTTTGTGTCAAACATGTTCAGATTCGACTCGTATGAGGACTTCTGCTTTGGAAATGTTGGGAAATTTCAGATTTAGTTTGACCAAAATGTAAGATGTGCAAAAGAGTTAGTGTATATTATCACCTAAAGAGAAAATGTGAGTTTCCAAGATACATTTGCAAATTTGCTTTTAAAAACGTATCTCCCACTATTAAAGAAGATATTGTGCTTTTGTCTGCTCTATAGTTATAATCTCCAACCCGTGGATCATTATGTTACATTTTGGACATTTTTAAATCACAATATTGATCTAAAAGCACTTAAGAGGAGGTGTTATGCCAAATCGACTTTTGGGAGTTTTCCACCATGTTGTTCCACCATCACAGATATGCCTGAAGAGGTTTCAGATGTGATCCATGCATGTTTGAGTAATATAGTGATCTCTCTTGGACCCTATCCAAAGCCTCCTTGCAGTTTAGAGTAAGATTCTGTCCAAATGAATATAGCATTTTCAAAACTGTGAAAGGTAACGTGGTGATTTAAGTACGTTACGTGTTAGCAGTTAGTACCCTGAAAAAAAGAAACAAGTATGAATATTCTCCAGGTAGGAACATTGTGGAGGCTTATCAAGTTTAAAGCTCCAAAAAGTCGATCTGGCACAATATGTCTCCTTTAAGTGTAACCCTCTGGCGGTACCGTTTTTGGAAATTTCCACCTTATTTCATGTCTTGTTCGAAGCTTGTGCAATTCAAAACTTAAAGTGTAAATTTTTTTGACAAATATTCTTGCTTTTGTCTGTGTAATCTGAACATGCTCTCTCTCTGCCATGTGTCCAGCACCACCGCATCTCTAGTGCAACATGAAATGAAAAGTTATACCTATGACAATCCACGTTAAGCTCTTCTTGTTAACTTTGTGTTGTTCTGTTGGCCTTTAATATGAAGCCTCTCCCACGTGGCTCTTTGAATGCTTATTTATTTAGCCTTGTTGTAGTTTAGTTCACTTCAAACACATTTTTGCCGCACTTTGCTGACCGTAATGGCTGCCCCGGTGAGATTTTTGAGTTCGGGCGAAGAGGAGGGAAGGACCGCAGAGAGACAGGCAGGCGTTGCTCCTGTCGGGTCCTGCGGTAAAGTGAAGACAGGAGCCGGAACTGTCACCTGTCGCTGCATGCTCCCTGCCATTGCTTTAACCTGTAAAGATTTCTGTTAGTGGAAATACATTTTGATTCAATAAAAGTTATGATCCATCCGTGTTGTGTTGCCTTGTTTCTACTGATTGGGAGTTACAGTAGAAATTGTACTCTGAATAGTTTACTTTTAGCCCTACTGAGTAATAAATTGTACAGTGTAACAGTACTCAAGTAAAAGTTGTACTACTTTTTCCCACTGTGAGTAAATCTACAGATGACAAAAGCTTTATGTGACCATCTGAAATGATTTGAACATTTGTGTTTCTTGCAGCTCCTCCAGATTTGATTTAGTTTGTCCTAGTTACTCAAATTCTAACTCAGATGCCACCTCCAAACAGTTTACCCTTCTTTTACAGTTACTCTTAATTAAGCAGTGTTGGGGAGTAACGGGTGGCATGTATCAGAGTACAAATTATGAGTAACTATTCGGTTACAGTTACTGTTTAAGTGAGTGGTAATTGGATTACAGTTACTTGGTTGAAATAAATGGATTACACAGAAGTATTTTCCTGTTTTCATGTTTTGGGCTCTATTCCCCCCCCCCTAAACCCAGGTCTAAACTAGGCCTAAACCAGGACTAAACCAGGACTAAAACCAGGTCTAAACCAGGTCTAAAACCAGGTCTAAACCAGGTCTAAACCAGGTCTAAAACCAGGTCTAAACCAGATCTAAACCAGGACTAAACCAGGTCTAAAATATGTCTCAAACATGTCTCAAACAGGATTTAACAGGACTAAATCCTGCTGTGCGGACCATGTCTCCTCGTCTTCTATCAATAATATATTTTTTTATTTGGTTCAAGTCTGGGCTTTTTATTTTCTTTTATCAGACAAAACATCTTATGTGAAGATTTCCTCATCTTTGCTTCTCTACAGCAAACCAAGTAATCCAAAGTATTCAGATTACGTTACTCACCTTAAGTAATATAATGGATTACTTTACTGATTACATTTTGGGGTATGTAATCTGTAATCTTTAGGGGAATACATTTTAAAAGTAACCTTCCCAACACTGTAATTAAGAAATACCCAAAATATTTTATTTTACTCAACAACATTCTCTACTTGAGTGCATGTTTGGCCTTGTTAGTCACATTTGCCTAATTCGAGAAATTAAAGAAACAATTTCAGGTCGCCTAAAAACTGCAGTTTAGATCACGTGCCGTGGTTCAGCCTGTGTGCAGTCCTGTTTGTCACCAGAAGGGGGCAGCACCTTCTCATCCTGATTCATGGATCTGTAGTTCTGCTCGTTCGACAAAGGCTCAGCAGAGATTCATTTATTTGCAGTGGCTAATACCGTCACCAAATGTCTTATATTACACAAACCTGACTCTTGTGGACTTTAAGACATTTCATAATATTTTTTACTTCATCAAAAACAAAGTGGTAGTTTTCAAGTTAACCTCTATATACCTTTTACCTTTAGTTCAGTAGAGATTGACATTTCCAGGGCTGAAATGATCCAAATGATTCACAGTGCAGCGCCTATTTTATTATTACCACATGACGTCACAAGAGTATCTGTCTGAGAGATTAAATATGCAGGTTTGTGTGTTAAGATTGAAACGAAACACAACTCCAGGTCTGTTTGTGACGAGGAAACTACATCAGAAAAAAGAGGAGTATGGATCCTTCAAAGACCGTGAACCAGTGTTGTTGTGGTAGGACATTTACTATAAAAGCACAACAAAAGAAAATTCTGAAACTGGACAAAAGTTTTAGAGTGAAGACGTTTCATCCATCCAAGCGGCTTCTGCACTTCTGATCAGGCAGTGGTAGGTACAGGGTAAGTGAGAAGAGTCCACCATCATCAGTCTGACCAGAATGTTCCAGGTCTGTTGGTGCGTCAGTTTAACGTGTAGAACACGAGTGGGCTTTTCCCATGGGGCCACATGAGAAACAGAAAGTATTGTGGAGGCCAAAATGCTCAGTTCATGCTTAACTCTGCATAATATGAATTGTATTTCTTTATCAAAAGCAGTAAATCATTGTTCTGATGAGCCGCTCAGACTGGGAAGAGTTTATGTTCTGACTTAGCAGTGAAAAAGTGAAACTTAGTCCATGCATGAGGTAAAATGAATCAAATATATTTATTTTGTAATTCCAAATTAGTTTAAACGGACAGGTGAGAGTCGACCACAGGGCCGTATGTGTCCCGGGAGCTCCAGGTCCATGTCCAAGTCTGGTGTGGAATATCTCTGGAGCCCAGAGCATGACCGTGACTGCTGTGGACAGTGGGCTGCTGTGAAACACAGGCCCTGTGGAAGTTCAACTTGTGCAGCGCACACAGGGGCCCCTGGAGTCCGTCACGTGATTGGACAGAGACTGTGACGTAATCCCTGAGCGCGCCTCTTATGCAGAGTGTGAGACAGAGCCGCACCAGCTCATTAGAAACAAACCGAGACTAAACCAGGACTAGAGCAGAACCACAGCGGGACCTCAGCACACTGAACCATGCAGCGTGTCCTCGTGGGTCTGGTGTACAGCGCGTGCCTGCTGCTGTGGAACGTCGTGGCCACGTACACGCACGCGGGCGCCTTGGAGTCGCACGCGATCGTCGCGCAAAGTTACGCACAGAGCCGCCACAACGGACGTCCCCCAGCCCGGACCCTCAACCCAGCCAGTGAGTCACGCTCTGCGCCGCTCTGTGCGCCTCTTATATCCAACTAGTGCAACATTTGCGCCTAAAGTATGTGAGGAGCGCCAGGAGTGCACCGCAGCTCCAACTTCTCCACTCGCCATAAAACGGTTATAATTTGGCCTTAAATCTGTTTTGCAGAAATAACCTGTAGCAACTGGACAATATCATATAGTCTACAATTCTTAAAAGGCAGCGGCCTATGCAGATGAGCCAGTATTTGTAAATACATGTACCTGAACTTTGCTCTATTATTATTTTAAAATGTTATTTCATTTAGGCCACACAGCGTTTGACACTGTGGCCAAATGTACTTATAAAAATACTATTTTCTATTTACTGTTTATTTAATCACTTACAGCTTTAGTGGAAGAAGTTCTCAGTTTTGTTACTTCAAATGTAGTGATTTTGATTTGAGAATTGTGCTGAATTTTGCTCAAGAGAAACTACTGAATCTATTGTTTCTATTTGAATATTTTTGCTCAAATTCTCAACATGATGATAATAAATCTCAGGCTTTTCAGCAGGTCTCAAACTATCATCAAAATAGTTTCACTTTTCAGGTCTAAAATGTAGTGGAGTAGAAAGTAGAGATACCTGCGCTTAGATGTACTGAAGAAAAAAAATATAAAGTATTCACATTAAAGTGTACTTCGGTAAAGTACAGATACCTAAAATGTACACTTAAACGTGCATTGTGCAACTTTTGTGGTGGAGGGTCCGTCACCTGCTTGTCTCCATGGAGATGTTATTGCTTTGTCTGGAATGTTCCACAGCCGAAATTAAACCCATCTGTTTCAAAGATGACAACTATAGGCTACATTACAAGTCAGATCTGTGGAGAGGCAAACCTGTTCACAGAGACAAGTATTGTACTTTTGAGCAATAGAAAAATGTCTGTGTTTAATGTCATACCACGGAACATTCTAGGCAAAAAATAACATCTCCGTGGAGACAAGCTACGCAATGCACCCTTAAGTTTAGTACTCGAGTACTTTTCCAGTGGATTATGTGCATGAGAACAGCTTCATGGTGATACAGACTGTGTGTGTTTGGTCTGTATCTGACACATTCTGTTCATGTGCATGAAAACTCACACTTTATCCTCTGACTGACACACACACACACAGACACACACACACACACACTCAAACACACACTCACACCAACACACACTCACACACACACTCACACACACACACCAGCACACTCTCAAACACACACTCACACACTCACACTTGTTTTACTAATCCAGTGTTCCGTTTAAGACGTGTTCTGTTTATTTAAAGCAACACAGTGGAGATGTGTCCTTTTTATACGGCTCCTTTAAATTAGACAGATTCAGTCACTATGTGATGTCAGGCACACACTATGTGACAGGGACATGTGAAGAGGCACGCTCAAACACAGAATGCACACAACCAAGTCCACTGTCTACTGTCCACACTCGCTCCTGTCTGTCCACACTCGCTCCTGCCTGTCCACACTCGCTCCTGTCTGTCCACACTCGCTCCTGTCTGTCCACACTCGCTCCTGTCTGTCCACACTCGTTCGTCTGTCCACACATGTTATTGTCTGTCCACACTCGCTCCTGTCTGTCCACACTCGCTCCTGTCTGTCCCCATACGCTCCTGTCTGTCCACACTCGCTCCTGTCTGTCCCCATACGCTCCTGTCTGTCCACACTCGCTCCTGTCTGTCCACACTCGCTCTTCTCTGTCCACACTCGCTCCTGTCTGTCCCCATACGCTCCTGTCTGTCCACACTCGCTCCTGTCTGTCCAACACTTGCTCCTGTCTGTCCACACTCGCTCCTGTCTGTCCACACTCGCTCCTGCCTGTCCACACTCGCTCCTGTCTGTCCACACTCGCTCTTCTCTGTCCACACTCGCTCCTGTCTGTCCCCATACGCTCCTGTCTGTCCACACTCGCTCCTGTCTGTCCAACACTTGCTCCTGCCTGTCCACACTCGCTCCTGTCTGTCCACACTCACTCCTGTCTGTCCACACTCGCTCCTGTCTGTCCACACTCGTTCCTGTCTGTCCACACATGTTATTGTCCACACTCGCTCCTGTCTGTCCACACTCGTTCCTGTCTGTCCACACGTTATTGTCTGTCCACACTCGCTCCTGTCTGTCCACACTCCCTCTTCTCTGTCCACACTCGCTCCTGTCTGTCCCCATACGCTCCTGTCTGTCCACACTCGCTCCTGACTGTCCACACTCACTCCTGTCTGTCCACACTCGCTCTTCTCTGTCCACACTCGCTCCTGTCTGTCCCCATACGCTCCTGTCTGTCCACACTCGCTCCTGTCTGTCCAACACTCGCTCCTGTCTGTCCAACACTCGCTCCTGTCTGTCCACACTCGCTCCTGTCTGTCCACACTTGCTCCTGTCTGTCCACACATGTTATTGTCTGTCCACATGTGCTGTAGCCTGGTGAAAGGATGATCAAACAGACCCTTCAGGTGTTTGTCACCTGAATGTAACAACTGTCAATATGGAAACAGCAGAGCCAAGTGAACATACAACATTTTAGTATAATACACTTGTATAGAGTAATACACTTGTATAGAATAACACACTTGTATAGAATAATACACTTGTATAGAATAATACACTTGTATAGAGGGCATTAGCTGCAGTGGCAAGGTGTAGTGACTTATGATCTGTGATAAAGGATGTAAACATTTGTGAATACATTGAAGAAGTATTGTGGGGTCAACATCTGCCAAATCTTAATAAAACTGAATAAGTGCATACATCACAGTGGGCGTGTTCTGGTGGAGGTGAAAACTGGGCTGATTGCCAAAGTGGGGTCTTAAAAATAAACTAATAAAGATTACTATAACATGGTTAAAAGCTTTGAAAAGGCCATTTGGCAGAATTGATCTAATTTAATGTAGTTCTAACCAGGCTCTGAAAGTAATATGTACCTGAGCTTTTATCATTGTCAGGATCATAATCATACTTTCTGAGGTTTAGCTGACACTTAAGACTAATCTATGTTCCTTCACTTGTCTCTGTTGCCTCCATTCTGAAGTGTGTTCTCTTGACAAACTGGGCAGACTGGTGTATTCACGATAAGGGCTATAGGCTTTGCTAAAATCATCGAAAGAGGTTATGCAAATATAACTGGTGTTGCTTTAAACGTTCTTAAAGGTACACTATGACACTTTTTTGGTTGAAGGTCTGCCACCTCCTTGTCTCCATAGTGATGTTAATGTTTTGCCTGTAAATGTTCCACAGCATGACATAAAACTTTTCTATCTAGATTGGTCAAAGATCTCTAGAAATATATTCCCTGGAAATATATTCTTACTCTGAGTGGATCTCCTCTCTCCAGAACTCACCTGTAACTTGGCCTGATATCCTCCACTCACCTTTTTGTCTCCATGGTGACAAGCAGTTGGCATACCCTCCTCTAGAAATGTTACATAGTGTTGCTTTAAATGTATTTGTAATGTCTTCTTCTGAGGCTGTCCTGTTTAACCCACTAACTCGCGCTCTTCTCTCTGGTGCCCTCTAGTGCACAGGAGCGATTTCACGTATAGAGGGGGGTATCTGTCCCACTACCAGCCTCCTCCTCCTCCTCATCTTCCTCTTCATCCTGGGATCTCTGCACCTGTCCACCTGCCCCACCTGCACCTGCCCCATCCGCACCACCACCAACTCCCGCCCCACCACCACCTGCAGCACAGGCCCGCCGCAGTGCCCCCCTACCACCACCACCACCACCAGGGGGTCCACTCTTACCCCATTTTCAAAGGCCCCCCCATCAATGTCCCCGCCCCCTGCCCCACCACCCCCCGCAGGTGTTCAAAGGACCCTTCTATTACAAAAGCAAAGGCCCGTGCCCCGCTAAAGTGAGCCCCACCTTCCCCACTCCGCCTGTGGTCAGGACTCCGCCCACTGTGCTGCCCACCATGCCCCCTACCATGCCCCCTACCACACCCCCTACCACGCCCCCTACCACCACTTTGGCCACTACAACTACTCTGCCAAGTACTACTACCACCCTGGCTCCAACTACTACCACGACTCCCATGCCCACCACCACCCCTCCAGCGCCCACTACCACCCCAGAGATGACCAGCACAGTCCCGGTGACCTCAGCGCCTGTGACTCTACCGGTCAGTACCCAAAGCGGGCTCAGCACCACCAGCAGCCCAGTGGAGACAGGTAGAACATGCATTACCAGTCAGGTTTGTTCCAACTCCCGAAAAAAAACTTTAGATGATGCACACACAAAACAAGCCATATGTTGTGACTACATTTTGTCAAACAGAAGAGGCCAGTGTTCATTTTAGCAAAACTATCTAAATGATTGTTGTTCTAGTGAAAGAGGGCATGTGTCACCTGCATACAGTATTGATTGCTAACACATAACATTTAGATCGCCATGTTACCTTTGATAGTATCATGTTTGTATATTTATGAAAAATTTCATATGGGAACATCATGGCTGACGTAGACTTGTGGGCAGAGCATTGCACAGAATCTTACAGCTAACTGTGTAGAGGGCGTGAATAGAGCCTGGGAGAGATCACTAGATTACTCAAACATGCATGGATGACATCTAAAACGTCATTAGAAAAGAACATTAACATGGAAGAACACTCCAGAAAGTCGATTTTGCAGAATACCCCCTCTTTAAGGTTTAGTCAACACATTTTTAGACTTAGTGTACTTTTTCTAAAGTATCTATTTAAGTACACGTATAACTGCTCAAAAAACAAACACTGAAAAGATGTATACTTTATTACTGTTAAATAATCAGGTTCAGTATGTCTGGAAACAGCCAATAACATTTATTTATAGAATATTAGACCACATTTGGTTGAAGCTACATTTGAAGGATGACATTACAGTCCATGTAAATACAACGTATTACTCCATGTTTACACTGCAAAATTGGGACGTATCTACATCAGTTAAATGACGTGAATCCAAAATATTCTTCTTTATTATGTAGTTAAGACTAGTTTAAAATCTATGTACTTTTCCCTTTTTAAACTGGTCCAAACTGCTCCACTCTGGATTCTGAAGTCATTTGCTTTGTGCAGATGGGATGTTTTTGCAGTGTCCTAACTGTCTCCGCGTGTGGACATGTCCTGTCTTTATCCTTTCATTTGAGGACATGAGAAGAAAGGATCATGAGAATGTCCAATATGTGTCCTGTGTCCCAGTGTCTCTCCACTCCTCTCTGTCTGTATGCACGGTTCATGCATACGTAAAGACTCGCATTAAAGAGGAAATAGATGGAGTCACAGTAGGTATAAATGAGTAGACACTGCATAGGCGTCATTTTATTTTTATTTTTACATTTATTTTAAAATATATGGGTTTTTTTTTATTATTTATTTATACATTTAATTCAATTTAGTTTTACTCACAGTTTTTTCGATTTCTGCTCTAAAATATGCAGCTACAAATATAAAGTACAAACACTAACACCTGAGAAAATCAAAGCTCTAATGTGATGCACTGACTACAATGTGAACAAGACAGGCCTGAGAACTGAGCCCTGGGGGACTCCACAGCAGAGCAAGGAGGATGGAGAGGTGGAGTCCCCCAGCCTCACGCAGGACAGGTAAGATATGAACCTGACACCCAGAGCTGCATGATCAACTATGAGAAAAGCAGCTGTCAGGTAAAAGCACAGTGGAAGAGCTACCATTAAAACCCTTAAAAAATGCAGGCTCTGCGCTTTGGAAAGATTCTATTCTATTGTATTATTGTTTTATTATAATTTTGGTATCAGATCATTATTGAGCATTATGTATATTCCTTCTCAAGAAAACGAGTATTGTGACAACACTTTCTTAGGCATAAAGGCATGTTTAGTCCTATAATTTCAGAGAAGCACACTCTGGAGCTTTGCCTTTAACCCTCTCCTGACCCTCACAGAGACAGACTCCGAGTGCAGGAGCCGCCCTCTGGACCTCGTCTTCATCATCGACAGCTCCCGCAGCGTCCGACCCATTGAGTTTGAGAAGGTCAAGATCTTCCTGGCCGACATGGTGGACACCCTGGATGTGGGCGCAGAGGGCACCCGCGTGGCTGTGGTCAACTATGCCAGCACAGTCAAAGTGGAGTTCCTGCTCAAAGACCACTTCAACAAGCTGGACCTGAAGAAAGCCATCTCCCGCATCGAGCCCTTAGCCGCAGGAACCATGACTGGCCTGGCTATCAAGTCCGCCATGACCGAAGCCTTCACCGAGGAGTCCGGCGCCCGACCCAAAGCCAGGAAGATCTCCAAGGTGGCCATCATCGTAACTGATGGGAGGCCCCAGGACAACGTGGCAGAGGTGTCTGCAGCTGCTCGGGGGACAGGGATAGAGATCTACGCTGTGGGAGTGGACCGTGCAGACATGAGCTCCCTCAAACAGATGGCCAGTGTTCCTCTAGAGGAACATGTGTTCTATGTGGAGACCTACGGAGTCATCGAGAAGCTCACCTCCAAGTTCAGGGAGACGTTATGTGGTAGGAACGCCGCGCCAATGGCTAACACTAACAGCCAGTATGTTTACGTGCAGGAACAGAGAATTATAAAAGTGTTGACTTAATATTTGTGCTTACCTGTAGTGTATTGATCTTTGACCTAATTAGAAAAAACACAAGGTTAGTGTGTTTAAAACTCAATGCAAGACAGTTAAGGTGTCGTGCCCAAGGACACAGCTATAGCCATTATTCACTTAAACACCAGGGTTAGTGGGTTATCTTAGGTGAGACACTCAGAAAATAAATGTACAAATAGACACTTGGGCAAACGTGGATCTGTACATTTATAATGAGGTAAAACTGATATTTACAGCTGTACTTATCTCACTACAATGTCTTTTGCCAAAACCAGCCTTCAAAAAATGAAATGTTGATTATTTTTAGTTGAGGATAGTTAAGGATAAAATATTTCATTAGAAAAAAGGCAACATAATATATGTATTGAAATCACATTGCTGAAGCCACAAAAGGCAGCACACATTTTAGATTTCCACTTTAAGTTCAAAATTTATTTTGGATTATTATTATTTTTTTCAACCAGATCATACTGGTTTTGACAAGGCCACATAATAAGACACTCATTAGTTGAATATTCTCTGGTCCAGACATGACAGAATCCCATTTGCACAGGATAATTGAGTTCTTCATGTAAACATACTGTCTGCTCTGTGCTCCTCTGTGCTCCTCTGCTCCACACATGGGCTGCACATGTCCCTCACCAAAGCTTCTGAGAAAACACTGTCAAGTTTGGAGGTCTGCTGACCCCAAACTGTGTCATAGTGGAGCTGGAAATGTACTTACGCTGTGGAAGAATGTGAGACTTTGGTAATCAAAGCATCACCATGGCGACTGCTTTGAACCCGTATGTATGGTATGAGTGTGTGTATAACTTTTACAGTGTACTCTGCTCATATAGGCACCAGTGATAAGGTCAGGAGAAGATCCTCCTGAATACTTGTTTGTTGATACCAAAGTTTAGTTTGTAAAATTATTTTAGAGTGATTTTGAAACGTCTCAAGCTACATATCCAAATGTAACAGTTTCTGTGGTGCTGTTATGAATGGAGGCCACTGAATCATTTGTATTTTTGTGTCAGTAAATAATAGGGATGCAACTATACAGTCTTCTTCAGATACGTCTCCATACAAAGGCCACAATATTAATACAGTCCGGTTTCAAAAATTTTTATGGTACTTGTCCTTAAACATTTTGACAAAAGCAGAGGCTTTCATAGAGATATTTTCTTTGAAACAATAAAAGTACTTGAATGGAGTATTAACATTTCATTGAATCACTCATGTGTATGGTACTGAGAGGGTCGTGTTGGAAGATTTGAAATGATATTGAGTATTGTTGCATCTCTAGTAAATAAGAGCTTGAATTGAAATATCTCAAATGTATATCTTGTATAATATTTCCATGTTCTGTCTGTGTGTGATGATGGTTATGATCATACCTGTGGTGTCCAACAGCAGAGCAGCTTGGCTGAGATGTGGTGAAGACCAGAGGTTGATTTCATTTCATATTCTCAAAAACATTCATATGTCAGCCCTGCGACCACCCTGACATGGACAAACCCAGCCACTTTTACTTTAATACGAGAATGAATCAAGACTTGTCAAATCAAGATTCATAATCTGAATTAAAGCTACTTTGACTAGCCTATATTAAGATGTTGGTACGGTGTAAACTAATCCTGTCACACCCCTGCTAAATGTGGACGTCTGTTCTAAAAGGATTCCCAACATGATGAAAGTCAGTCTTATGTCCGTGTCACACCATGTGTTTTTCTGACCCTGCTTCACCTGTAGACAGCTGTGCTCAGGGCTCTGCCTGGGGCCGTGCCCAAGGCTGGGCTCAGGGTCGTGCCCGTGCCTGTGCCCGGGTGCTGCGCCCGGGTGCCGCGCCCGGGGCTAGCTCCTGTATCCACTCGCTGTATTCTAGGTGTGGACCCCTGTACCATGGGACACGACTGCCAGCACATTTGTGTCAACAGCAACGCCTCCTTTTACTGCAAGTGCCGCGCCGGCTTTATCCTCAACGCGGACAAGAAAACATGCTCTGTCAAACGTAAGGACCTCTGATGTGGCAGCTCAACATGCTGACTGTGTGCTGCTAACCTAATGCTAACACTAGCTTCAGAGTGCTTCACTACATCACAACCAACCTGCTCTTCACTGAAGAGAACCTGTTGGACACTCACTGTAATGTCAGACAAATGTAGATGTACTGCTTCTGTGTAGCTAAGCATTTGCAGTTGTTTTGTGAAAATGTTTTTTTTGTTTGTTTGTTTTTTCCATTTATTTTTGCCAAACATTGTTTGTTGACCTGCAGGTTCAGCTGCTGAGGTCTTTTGGCTACTTGGTCTTGCTTTTGTTTGAGGTGTTGCTGTGATGTGTCTTGAAGGATGCTCGATGCTGCATACAGAACTTGAAGCTAGTTGACATGTGACAAATTTTATCAAAGGTTCAGATGTTTCTCCTGTGGTGTTTGAGGCCTGTGGTGTGAATGTTTAGAACACACTGCATCAATTCTTCAAACATGGCACCGACATTCGAGCGGCCTAGACGCACGTCCCCCATACACTAAACCAAATATCCCATAGTGCATCATTCCTGTGACTGTAGGGACAGCTTGCGACCCCTACTTTCTCCAGGACAGTTCCAGGTGTGTGGTAAGGTGTAGGGTCCTTCCTCTCGGCTCACAGTGTGTGTTCTCTGATGTTAGTAGCTACGTCAGTCCAGTGATAATGCTTCATTTGAGCACAGACGCTGCTGATGCACTGATACTCTCCATGCTAAATGTTGCAATATCAATATCGTCAGCAGAGGGCGCAAGTTTGACTTTTATTAAACACATTTACCAGACTACTACAATAAGCAGAGCCTATAGGACACATCACAGTAACATCACGTAGAGATGATCATTTTGAGATGAGCTTCTGTCTGACTCTGTGTTGTTCCTCAGAGGTGAAGGTGGAGGTGGTAGAAGATCCCTGTAAGTGTGAGGCACGTCTGGCCTTCCAGAAGCAGACCCAGGCCGCTCTGCAGCAGCTCACCACCAAGAATATCCTTTCACCGCCAGTGCACCGCTAACACACACACAAGCACACACACAAACACACACACTCACACACACTGCTAAACCAACACACACACATGCACACTCTCACAAAACTTGAACGTTTAAGTGTGTAAAGCCCAGTGTATTGGAGGGGAAATGGATGGATGTATCATTTCTGCGGGTTGGTAAAGAGGCATGTGGAGCTTCAAAAGTATTACTCAAAAAAGTGATAAATATTTTGACAAAATTTACCTTGTATATCTTAAGTTTAATATAATAATATCAACTGCCTTAAACTTTACACAATTAACCCTTGGCCATCAGAAGACTGTTCCAGAAAACACAGGTTTATCCCAGATAATACTGTTTTATTATTGGCAGGACATAATTCAAAAACTTCAGTTGTTTAAATGAACTAGGCCTGGGTGATGCGGCCCATAGATAACATCTCCATTTATTTACACGCACTGGACAAGAATGAATTGAAGTCAGAGCAGTGATCTCTAGCCTTTCAGACACATGGAGCATAGCAGTAGCTTTACAGTTACATTTGTATAAACATGTGATCTTATTTTAATTGTTTAAATTAGAATGAGATGTCAATTGTTCATTTGCATAATAACCCTGGTTAACCAGTAAAACATTTGGAGTAAACTTATTTCATAATAATAGTTGATTTCACGATTTTGCAATTTTTCAAATTCTCACTTATTAAAAGAAGTGTTAACCCGCCCTAAAATAAACAAAAAGTAATTTATTGAACTTCAATATCAAAGCTGCACTATGTAACTTTTGAGTGAGTGAGTGCCTCCATAGAGATGTTAATACTTTCCCTGGAAATACTTTGGAAGAAGCATCTTACTGTGAGCAGGATCAAGTCTAACTTTGTCCAGTGGTACCACTAGAACCTGAGTAAACCTTTCCTGAATGTCTTTCAAATGATCTTTCTCTGTATCAGAACAAGTAAAAGAGCACATACACTAGTATACACACAGAGCACTATGAACACACATATATAAGACTCCAGCAAATAGAAAAGAAAGTTCTACCATTTAATGTTGGAGTAGTGTTTATTATTATTTAGTATTATTTATTATATTAAAGTTTGAAATTTGACTATCACATCAGCACTAGGCATCACATCTCAGAGATAGATAAGTTTAATGCCATACTGTGGAACATTCTAAGCAAAGCAATTCTCACCTTCCACCATAAAAGTTAATAGTGCACCTTTAAAAATGTTTCACCTAGCTCACAGAATTATCCTGCAGGGCTTCCATATTTCTCCTCTAAGAGCTAATGGTAGGTACACACCATATAAACCTCTCTAGTAACAGATGCTAGGTTCAAAAAGGCCATAGCACCTTCACATTAGCTGCTTTAGCTCTGTACTTTGTTCCTTAACCTTTGGCACTAGCCGATGTGTCGCGGAGGATAGAGAGCCTGGAGAGTCTGGCCGGACGAGGCTAAAAGACTCTCAGTTCTGGGGTACGTGTGAACAGTCCCACCCAGGAGACCGTAAAACTGCCACTGACCTCGTGACCTCCCGTTTGTTTACCCAGCAACGATGCACCAGAGCGGGCTTCCTCTGCAGTCACCCCTGCCTCCCAGTGGACCTCCAACAGCTGCGGACATGAATGCAATATTGTTCAGGACATTTCAGTTATTTTTTTTGTTTTTGTTTTTGAAGGTCCTATATTCTGTAAAACTGTATATTCAAGTCAAGTTCTAATGTTGTCACCTCCTCAAAAACACACCTGGAGTTGTGCTTTGTTTCAGTCACACATGTTTGAGTAACTCTTTATTATTATTCTAAATTGCCAAAATTCACTTTCTTTTATGTTCAGTAGAGTTTGGCAGTTCCAGAGATGAAATGATCCAAATGATTCTAGTGAAGGTGTGTGGAGTTTAAAAACACAGAGGACCACATGACATCACAAAGTGGAACAAAGTGTTTTCAGTTTGAGAGAAGAACTCAGCCTAAATGTGCAACATTTGTGTGGTAAACATGTGGATGAAACAAAACATGATGAGGAAACATTAGAACATAGATGAGAAAATAGAGTCATATGGGCCCTTTAATGAATATATACTTAAATAGTGTGGCATTGTAATATTGACATATGTACAAAGATGTTACTGTATATAAGATTTTGTATCAATTTGTAGCTATCCAAACATGTATAGATCTAGTTATATTTTATTTTACGCATTTTACATTTTAGTTTTTAGTTTTTACTTTTACTAAACTAACTCATGTAAATAGAATGCAGTGACATGTGGTGAGTTCTCAGCTCACAACAAGAAGGTACAGGGTTCGATTGGAAACCAGCTGATGCCTTTCTTTGTGGAGTTTGCATGTTCTCCCCGTGTCTGGGTGGGTTTCCTCTGGGTACTATATTATTTTCGCTATCAACCTAAAACATCAGATCTGGAGAACAGTATGCAGCACTGGTCAGTGGGTCAAATGCAGATGACATTTTTCTATAGCTTAAACTTTATATCTGTAGCCATATGATTAACCATAGTTCTTTGAAATATATAATTATAATATATTACTTCTACAATGTTTTGTGTAGGTTTCTGTCTTTGTTTTACTTGTTAGATTTTTTTGACTGTTTCTGTTGGGCAACATTTTGTGACGCCTTTTGAGGAAACTGCTGTTCTGATTTGGGGCAATGGTAAAATAAATGGTATTGGATTTTGTCTTTAGCTGTCAGAGTAGAGTTGTCATGGTAACCACAGTATGTGCGGTAAATAAACATGTTGTAAAATGTGTGTGTGTTTTGTGTGTTGTTTATGAGCCCAGGTGTTATTTTCCCACAGACCCAGGCCCAGCAGAGTACACACTGCAGTACACTATAGTACACTGTACTGTACTACACTCTACTACACTGTACTACCACAGACACAGGCCCAGCAGAGTACACACTGCAGTACACTATAGTACACTGTACTGTACTACACTCTACTACACTGTACTACCACAGACCCAGGCCCAGCAGAGTACACACTGCAGTACACTATAGTACACTGTACTGTACTACACTCTACTACACTGTACTACCACAGACACAGGCCCAGCAGAGTACACACTCTACTACACTGTACTACACTATACAACACTATACTACACAATACTACACTGTACTACACAATACTACACTGTACTACTACAGACACAGGCCCAGCAGAGTACACACTGTACTACACTGTACTACACTGTACTACACTATACTACACAATACTACACTGTACTACACTATACTACACTGTACTACACTATACTACACTATACTACAGTATACTACACTGTACTACTACAGACACAGGCCCAGCAGAGTACACACTGTACTACACTATGCTACACTGTACTACACTGTACTACACTATACTACACTGTACTACACTATACTACACTTTACTACACTGTACTACATTATACTACACAATACTACACTGTACTACTACAGACACAGGCCCAGCAGAGTACACACTGTACTACACTATACTACACTGTAATACACTATACTACACTGTACTACACTGTACTACCACAGACACAGGCCCAGCAGAGTACACACTCTACTACACTGTACTACACAATACTACACTGTACTACACTATACTACACTGTACTACACTATACTACAGTATACTACACTGTACTACACTATACTACACTGTACTACACTATACTACAGTATACTACACTGTACTACTACAGACACAGGCCCAGCAGAGTACACACTGTACTACACTATGCTACACTGTACTACACTGTACTACACTATACTACACTGTACTACACTATACTACACTGTACTACACTATACTACACTTTACTACACTGTACTACACTGAACTACATTATACTACACAATACTACACTGTACTACACTCCACACAGTGTAGTCCGTATACTGAAGCCCCACCTCTCTCTGCTGGTATTAATATTCCTTTTTTTCAATAATATTAACTTTAATTCTTTACAAAAAATAAAAATTTTTAAAAAAGGTAATTGTTAAATGAGGTTTATAATATTCTTTCTGACTTTAGGTGGAATATGATCTATGGTCTTGTTTCAGTCAGTGTGGAGGCCACCTGTAAGATTCAATGGAAAGAGAAAATTAAAGCTATACTTCGGAACATTCTCCATAGAGATAGATAAGTGTTATACCATACTGTAGGCACTACAGCCAAAGGAACAACATTTTCATGGAAACAAGCAGGAAGAGGTCCTCCTCCAGGCCAAATATGAATTAGGTTTGTGGAGATGCAAGCCTGCTCACAGAAAGGACACAGGATTTCAGTTTTTCAGTGCAATGAAAACTTTCCAAATGAAGAAGAACCTCCATCTATCCATTTATCCATTTTCTTCCGCTTATCTGGGGCCAGGTCGTGGGGGCACCAGTCTAAGCAGACACTCTCAGACTTCCCTCACCCCAGACCCGTCCTTCAGCTCTTCCGGGGGGGCCCTGAGGCATTCCCAGGCCAGCCCAGAGACACGGTCCCTCCAGTGTGTCCTGGGTCTTCCCCAGGACATGCCCGGAACACCTCCCTAGGGAGACGCCCAGGAGGCATCCGGAACAAATGTGCGAGCCACCTCAACTGGCTCCTCTCTACGTGGAGGAGCAGCGTCTCTACTCCAAGCTCCTCCTGGGTGACTGAGCTCCTCACCCTATCTCTAAGGAAGCGCCCAGCCACACTGCGAAGGAAACTCATTTCGACCACTTGTATCCGCAATCTTGTCCTTTCGGTCATTATCCAGAGCTCATGACCATAGGTGAGGGGAGAAACGAAGACTGACCAGTAAATTGAGAGCTTTGCCTTTCGGCTCAGCTCCCTCTTCACCACAACGGTGCGATACAGCGACCACATCACTGCTGACACTGCACCGATCCTCCTGTCAATCTCACGATCCATCCTCCCCTCACTCAAGAACAAGACCCCGAAATACTTGAACTCCTCCACTTGAGGCAAGGACTCTCCACCCACCTGGAGAGGGCAAGCCACCTTTTTCCGGTTGAGAACCATGGCCTCAAACTTAGAGGAGCTGAGCCTCATCCTAGCTGCTTCACCCTCTGCTGCAAACTGCCCCAGTGGACATTGCTGGTCCTGGTTTGATGAAGCCAACTGGACAACATCATCTGCAAACAGCAGAGATGATCCTGTGGTCTCCAAACCGGACTCCCTCCCGCCCCTGACTGCTCCTAGAAATTCTGTCCATAAATATAATGAACAGAACTTGTGACAAAGGGCAGCCCTGGCAGAGTCCAACATGCACCGAGAACAGGTCTGACTTACTGCCAGCAATGTGAACACAGCTCCTGCTCCGGTCATACAGAGACCGGACAGCCCTTAGCAAAGTGTTATGCCACACAGTAGACACCACAGTGAGAGACCTGTCCCCGTCCCCCAGGACCTGTTTGCATTGGGTGATCCTACCAGGGGCATGAAGCCCCCGACAACATAGCTCCTAGGATCATTCGGTCACTCAAACCCTTCCACCACGATAAGGTGGCGGAAGGGTGAAGAATAACCTTTTTTTGATTATTTAAAGCAAACCTCTGTAGCCTTTTACCCTAAAGAAGAACCTTTTGGGTAAAAGGTTACACAGGTTTGCTTTAAATAATCATCACTTACTTCAAAGAAAGAATAAATAAAAAATATAGTCAGCGAATAATAGAAATTATGTATATATATATATATATATATATATATATATATATATATATATATATATATATATATATATATATATATATAATATATATATCGTAATAACCATTTCTCCCACATCAACTGGAAGAGTGGCTTCAACAGATATCGGGAAAAACAATGGACATCTCAGTCCAGAAAAGTGCAGTACTGGGAACAGCAAAGATACTGCGCAGAACTCTCAAGCACCCAGGCCTCTGGTAGAGGACCCGAGCTGAATGAGGGTGAGAGACCTACCACCGTGGAAGGAGAAACACATTTTTTTTTTTTTTTTTTTTTATATATATAAGTACATGTATGCCTGATCTATGTATTTCAGATACACCTTTCTGAGGAGCAGCTCTCATTGTTTCCCCAAGAATTCTATGACTAAATCCCGATCCCTCGCTCAATCTTGGTTATGAATTTAAAAAGTCAACACCAAGGCACCAGTTGTTCACCAAGAAACACCTTCCACTGCAAAGAGACCAAGACGTGATGTTGCTGTAAAACCACAAGAACAACAAAGTGCAGCTCAGTCTGTTTGTATTCTGCACAATACAGTAGGCCTCTGTCATTAGTGGCAGAGTGGTTATCCTCTCTTCTCAAAAAGAAGGTTGTGGGTTAGACTATTGATCCTGTTTATGAGTTTGACCACAGCCTTGTGTCATCCATCTTTCACTTGACAGCAGTTTGTGTTTGTGGTAGCCATGAAACCACTATGAACAAACCAAACAAACATGGACAAAAAGAAGTGAGGAGAGAGACAGAGAAAAGGAGAGGGACCAGTCAGACAGAGGTTAATATTGACCCTCTCTTCGCACTGACATACCAGACAGCAGCGCGGTGGTCAG